TTTTGGTTTTTCGAGACAGGGTTTCTCTGTGTAGTTTTGCGCCTTTCCTGGAACTTTGTAGACCAGGCTGGCCTTGAACTCACAAAGATCCGCCTGCCTCTGCCTCCCGAGTGCTGGGATTAAAGGTATGCGCCACCACCGCCCGGCTGATTTTTCATGATTTTTATCAGAACATTAACATCAAATGTCGAAGCTCTTTTTCAGTCAGTGAGGTTTTTTCAATTTTTGCCCTGTTTGCAGGTGGCACTCCTTGTTTAGTTTTGGCCTTAATGAAGCTTTGTTTCCTTGGGTTCTTTGGGTTGGGTTGGGTTTTGTTTGAAACAGTCTCACTATGTACCCCTAGCTGACCTGGAACTTGCTACGTAGACCAGACTGGCCTCCTGCCTCTGCACCCCTGCATGCTGGGTTAAAGTGCACCACCACACCCAGTCGGGGGTTATTTTACGTATTTATTTTTGAGACAAGGTCTTCCGGAACTTGCAGACATCCTGTCGTAGCCTCCCATATGCTGAAACTATAAGCATGTCCCATCACCCAGCCGCAGGTGACACATTTCCAGGTCTCAATGCATTGCTCTGCTCTTTTCATCCAGGTGAGACCCTAAGCTGCTCTTCTGCACCTGAGGTGCCAGCTGCCATGTCACCTCTTAGTATCTTGAGTACCTGGCAGATTTCGTAGTTCATGGTACACTCTCAGCAAAATGTTTGTTGAACAATGAGTCCTCACCCAAGGGTGGGGAAATGAAATAGGCTTCCCTCCGCTGATTGACTCTCTCCTACCACCTCCTCTTATGTCCCTGCTAAAGCCAGGTCCAAGGGAACACAGGGATGGGGAGGCATCCAGAGACGGAGAAGGAGCGTTAAAGAGCCAGCGCCACACACTTCACTGCCTTCCCTACCAGGTCCGTCAAGCTGCCTTACACGAGCTGTTTGAGAAGGAACATCAGCAGTACCAGCAGGAACTCAGTCGGATGGGCAAAGCTTTTTATGAGGAGAGACTCTGAGGCTGCCCAAACACTGCTCTTCCCTCATGCCTGCCAACCCAGCCTCTAGTCTCTACCGGGGGCTTCCCAAAACAAACCTGGACCTGGGACTTAAGACCACCCCTTTTTCGCGGTCAAGTCAACCCAAATGTCGCCTCGGGGAAAACAAGAGTGACGCCTTGTGGTTAGCGTGGGATATGCAGTGTCGGAAGGGGAGAGGCTGTACAATGTCTGGTTTAAAAAAGTTGTGATTTGGTTTAACAAATAAAGCTAACTCTTAAATATTTAGATTTAGGTCGCGGGGTTTATTATCAGCCCTGAGTCTTGGTTTATTCTTGGCTGCCATAGTTTTACTTCCTAGACTCTGATTACTGGCTGGTTTTGTGTGTCAGCTTACTACAAGCTAGGGTCATCAGAGAGGAAGGAACCTCAGTGGAGGAAATGCCTCCATGAGATCCAGCTGTAAGCATTTCCTCAATTAGTGATCAGTGGGGGCGGGCCCAGTCCATGGTGGGCAGTGCCATCCCTGGGTTGGTGGTCCTGGGTTCTGTGAGGAAGCAGGTTGAGAAAGCCATGGGGAGCAAGCCAGTGAGCAGCTCCCCCCATGGCCTCTGCTGCCTCTCCATGGTCTGCACGGGTGGAAGGGGAGGGGTGTTAAGTATCACGTGGTGGGCTTGGGCTGGAAAAAAGTATGTCCATTTTCAAGGTATTTGACCCTGAAAATCCTGGAAAGTAGTAACACATGCACCTGTAGCTACGGGAAAACAAGTGACATCCAGAGACCCCCCCATTTCACAGTCAGGAAGAAGCTGCTGTGAGAATATGTAATTTCTGATACTCTCTGATGTAATTTCTACTACTTCCCCCTAAACTCACCTGTCATCAGTACTGTCACTGGTCACTCCTCTGTGGTGCAGTTGGCCTCTGCACCAACTCCTGCCTCCAGGTTCCTACCCTGCTTGAGTTCCTGTGCTGACTTCCTTTGTTGATGAATAGCAGTGTGGAAGTGTGAGCGGAATAAAACCCTCTCCTCCCCAACTTGCTTTTTGGTCATGGCGTTTCATGGTGGTCATTGGGTTGCTGGGGGAATTAAATAAGGCACTTAGAAGAAGTCACACTTACTACATCATATAAACAGGAAACGGTAATGCTGTCTTGCTACTCCATGGTCTTTCTCCCTCTACCTCCTCTCCCACTACACTCTCTAACCAACCTCTGATTTCTCTGTTCATTTGGACTCGCCGGATGCCCCATCCCCTCTGCCTGGATCTCCGACCTTGGCCTATTCCCTCAGGGCTTGTCAGTGCCAGGCTGGCTCCATTATTGGCAGGCTGGCCCGCTAGAACACCCATCTTCCCTGACGCTCCCTGCCAATTCCGTGTGCTCTCATCACATCACTCAGTTGCACCCCTCCAGGCCCTGGCGTTGCTCTGGCTGATGTTATACCCTGGTCTTGTGGCTTAGAGGGACTTAGACCTATCTGAAATAGCAGAAAAACACAAGCCAGCTCAGTGAGCGGCCTCCGAGGGTAAAGGGACCTGCTGCCATGCCTGGTGACCTGAGTCTGACTGAAGAACCCGCCCGCATAGTTAAAGGAGACAACAGACTCCTGGAAGTTGTCCTCTGACCTTCACAGAGGAACAAGGACACAACCACACACAAAAATATGAAAGTGTAGTAAGAAAAAAAAGCGGGGGGGACGCTAAAGTGTTATTATCAGGCTTGATGTTTCTAATTGTGCATCCCAAGTTTCCCTAGAGAGCTACACCTCCACACACCAATATTCCCAGTCTTCCTTTGTTCCTCTAGTACCCTAAACTCTAATGTTTTCAGTTCTGTTTGTTTGTTTGTTTGTTTGTTTTTGAGACAGAGTCACTATGTAGACCAGGCTGGCCTCAAACTCAAAGATCCACCTGCATCGGCATTAAAGGTGTGCGCCACCACCTCCAGGCAAGTCTTCCAGTCTTGTTAGTCCCTGCCCTGCCTCTTTTCTTCCTCCCCTGTTTTCCACCATAGTCAAGGCTTCAGGAAAAAAAAAAAAAAGAACTTGAAAGGTGAGAGTTAAGAGTAAATGAAGATGCAGAGAATCATTAGGTCATACTTCAAGAGTAAATGGAGGGCAAGCATGTAAATATTCCATATACACCCACAAACTCTGGGAACTACAAAAGAGAAAAGACACAAAAGACACTGCCACAAATGCCTGACTTGGGACCTAGGTCCATTTGTTAGTCTTTCCCTGGAAGGCCAGTGACATACAATAGGAATTGACTGGGTGTTGGGACAAGCTATTGATCGAGATCAAAGTCACTGTGGAGTGGGTGTATGCGGGAAGGAGACATCAGGATTGATGGGGGCAAGGACACATGGAACATGCCTGGGGAAGGATGGAAAGTGCCCTCCCTCCCACCCTCCATGCAGCTATAACTTGGGCTCCTTTCTGCCACAGTGAATGAAACATTTGCTTGCCAAGTGATGCTCCACAGACCCAATTCTCTCCAAAAGGGGAAAGAAGAGAGAGAGAGAGAGAGAGAGAGAGAGAGAGAGAGAGAAAACCAGGTTGAATCCTTGAGAATTTAGAGCCTTAGAGAAGCCAGCCCAGGAGCTCTGGTGATAAAAAGCTGCAGAAAAGAAGGGGAGTCCTGAGGTCTGTGGGCCACTTTCTGGCAGAAGCAGTTCCCTCTTGCTCTCGAGATCTAAAAGCCTTCACTTCAATTTAAGCAGGCAAGAGAAGCTGTGAGTCTCCTTGTCCGGAGCCCAGACTGAAGCCTGTGAGGGAAACCGCTTTTCTGTTCTGGACATCCAGTGATAACTTGAAGGAGGTTGTCTAAAGGACATGAGGAGGAGACAAGGCACGAGATGTCGAGAAGCAGCAGCCCAGCGTTTCAGAAGTTCCCCATGACTACTGTTGGCAGTACTAGAAGCTGTGAAGTTGGAGTCCACGGAGAAGACCGAGCAGTCTCATGGGAGAAATCTGGGAAGGTTAGGGGTTTGCTTGGAAATGGAAAGCAGACGATAGATATGCAAACCCCTAACCCTACCCCCGTGGAAAGCCCTGGGCAGCTGAGATGGCATCTAAAAGGCAGGTGGCAAAGCTGTAGAGGAGCTGTTGACACTGGTGAGCCTCTGGAAGCTGCTGCTGTCACACCACAGGGTGAAGCTCCATATGGGAGCTTTGGGAAATGTCCCGGATGTGAAGTCCTGCCCAGCGTTCTTGCTCTAGGCAAACATGATCCAGCAGCCACCGGACACAGTGGGAGAGGGGCTGTGGCGGGGTTGGCAGGAAGGACAGAGAAGCAAGAACATGTTTTGGGAGGGGGAGAGCGAGGGTCAGTGCCCTCACAGAAGATGGGTTTCCATCTGTCCATGACTAGGCTCTGGTTTGTCTTCCCTGACCTTTCTTCACAGCGGGGAGAAAGGCAGATCGCCACCAAAGCTCGCCTGCCGGCTTCTGTGTGATATGTTTGATATTGGGTTGTTAAATTAGGAACCAACTAAATGTCAGACATATTCTCACAGCAGTGAGGAGACTTGGCATCATCCCTCCGCTGCTTCAGTCCCTGGGGCTCTGAGACTCTTCCCCGTCCTTTCTGGTTTTGAGACAGGGTCTCTCTATGTAGCCCTGGTGATCCTGGAACTTACTATGTAGACCAGGATGGCCTTGAACTCACAGAGATCCTCCTATTGCCTCTGCCTCCAGGTATTAAAGGCGTGTGCCACCACTGCCCTGTGCCTGTTGTCGTGTGTGTGTGTGTGTGTGTGTGTGTGTGTGTGTGTGTGTGTGT